GCATAGAATTTTGTGGCGTGTTCTTCTATGGGTTTTTAGGGGTTTTCTAGAAAACCCATAGAAGAACACGTCACAAAATTCTATGCAAAAATACATCGATTTTCTTTTTCGATGTTCTATCTCTGCTATAAGTTTGAGCTCAATCGGACATGTATTCCGCATTTGGCAACAAGGTGAAAAAAGAGGGGGAGGGATACCCTTAAGGTTGGCTGGGGCTCCTTTCGTCTAGCCTTACATGATCATTCTCAACTAATGCAAATCAGTTTCGATTGCACCGACTTTTTTTCAAAAAGATGCTATTAATAATAAATTAATCTCGTAATTATTCCACTTACAGCATCTGTCTTCTTCGGCAAGTCAGCTGTATACTCCGTTATAATCGAGAAAAACAACAAAAATTGTGTTCAACTCTTCTTTTAAGGATGCTTTCTCCTTTCTCGCAAAAAAGTCGATTTTTTATCACTCATGTATATACGTTTCACTCTCCTCTATCACGGCATATAACGCTTGCGTGGTAGAAGGACTCTTTTCGTTCTCTTTCCTTCAAACCTCTATGGCCAACTTCCATCTTAAGAAAATTTTAGATATTTTCAAAAACTATGAAGTAAATCAATATTCCTTATATTAGCGAAAATCCTATGCATAATTAACAGACATGTGCAGAAACATGTGCGAACCACATATGCCGACATATTTCATGCTAGAAAATGTACTTTTATTATACAGAACTGTTTTTTTAGGTCTTTATCTTAATCAGAAAAATTCAAGACCAAAGTAGAACACTCATCATCGAAAACTATAGTGCCGCTTCGATATCTGTTACTTAAAGCCAAAAAGCTATGCAGGATCGATAGTCATGTGCTCCCCCTCCCCCCCCTGAAACTGATTTCTTTAATAATACATCGTCTTTAGTACATTGCTTGCTACATATGAATAACAATAATAATTTCGGTATGCTGTTGACTTTAAAAAATGATTTTTTTTAAACAAAGAACCAACTGTATTCGATTTAATAAAGTTGACTATTTTTAGTCTCTTGTGCCAATGCAATCATACAAAGTCACACAATGACAACGCAATAAGCGAATAAAATCTTTCATTGTTCAAACTAAAATAAATAAAGTCATTATGTTTCTTAACAATTGAACAAGGACGTATGAACAAGTAATCCTCATGCTTACATCATCATGCAAACATTTAATTTGACTTACCGATTAAAATATCTACTTTATATACCGTTAGATGTTATTGTTTGTTAGATTTTATGCTCAAAGTTTTTCAAAATGTACATGACAAGAAAAGCAAAAATAAAAAAACAAGAAAATAAAAATAAAATTTCGAAAAATTTAACTTTTAATTTATATTTTTTGCGATCAGTTTTTGCTTCGTAATATAAAAACTAATTGCTAAACATAATGCACACACACATTCACATTGGATTCTTTTGCCGACCGGCAGCATAGCATGAACAACGTATAACAGATGTACAATTAAATACGATTCGTTGCCGTAGTCGTAGTTGACGATGAATTTTGATCTGTTGATGATGAGATTATTTCATCTCCGATGGGTAATGCTGATGAATTTCCTCGTTTTTTCTTCTTTTTCATTCGTCCACCATGTGATGATGTGGAGGTATTTGACGAAAATGATGTGTGAACATTTCCATTTTGACCTCCCGTATTGTTATCTTGTCCATTTGATGAATTATTTATTGAATCATTGTTATTTCCGCTATTACCACCGGTTTGATCACATTCTCTTAACTGTTCGAGTGTGATTATATTATAGTGTGAATCGAATACGGCTGGTGTTAAGTCATTTGAAGCGCGTACAATTCGAATAGCATGTACTTTTTCTCTTAAAGGACTTGGTGGTGTTTGAGAATGTCTTGATCGACAACCGAAACACGATGTAAACGATAGCCAAACACTATCGGTTGATTGTTTACTACTATTTGCTAGTGTACCATCTTGATAGAGATTATTTGAATTTGTTGTTAAATTATTATTTTGTTGCGAATGATGTTGATGTGAGTGATGTGAAGATGATGAAGAAAATCCTAGACCTCGACGATGATGTGAATGTGATGAATTTCCACCAATTGGAAATTCATATTCCATTTGTGGACTACGACTATTTTCACTACGTATTAGACGAGCTACATTTGGCGATTGACGATGAAATGTTTGACCCAATTCGGATGATTGTGACGATTCTGTCGTACCCATGGCATCCTGAAAAAATAAAAAGATAATCGTTGTTAAGAATTTATGTACGATAGATGTTTTCTATTAAAAAATTGTAAGATTATTTAATATTTATTGTTTGATCTATTATTTCTTTATGTTTCCATTGTTATTTGCTTTCTGTCACTCATCTAATTAGTCATGTTGTACAATTTTTAATGCATTAAATATTTTGATACCAAACAGTATTAGAATATCTCACACTATTTCTCTTCTTTACATTGAAATACAACACGTTAAATATCACTTGCTACTTAATGAATAAAAACCTAAACAAGTTCTTCTCAACTCATAGCAATGTCTGTGCTCTACGCATATTTAATATAATGTTTTTATCTTTTTATGTCAGAATCTCGTTATCAACGAATTACCAAGTATATCTACTTCGTTGATAACTAAAAATATCGACATTACGTCGAGAAATGTGACAGCTAATTATTAAAAAAACAAAAATATTTTTTTTTTTGTGGTTATAAATGTGTATAATGTTTAATATAGAATAAAAGAATTGACATAAACGTTACACAACCAAAATAGACATAACAAAGCAGTGTCAGTTGTTTCTGTTAAAAAACGTATGTTATAAAAATAAAATTGATTAATAAATAGAAGCAAAATATGTCATGATGAAGTTTTCAGTTCAAAAATAAGGCATCTAAGCTAAACGAATCATGTGTAAAATAAAAAGAGAACTTGATTCAATGTATTTTAGATAAATTGAGAAAACGAAGTTGTCAGTCATATCATGCAGTTATAGCATATTATTCGTATACGAAAGATAGATACAAATATCTTGCAAATTATATACTCATTCACATTTTGACCTCTTCATCCATCAAGCATTCGAACATGATTTGATTTTCTCAATCACCTTGCAACAAATCCTGAACAGACTTAAATTTGATAACGTGCACATAAATAATAGAATAGATTATCGACTATTGTGCACGTCATGACAATTTTTTTGTTTTCTTCAAAACTATGATGAACATAAATTTCGAAGAAAATAAATCATTTCACCATGTGAATGTGCAAAAAATAAAAAAATTTATAATTCAATCAAAAATCGAAACAAAAATTAATTGTAAGAAGATGTGGAATGTTTTAGAATATTAAAAATAATGTTTAACACGTTAGCTGTCAATGCATCACGTCATCATGTGAGTATTTTTTTGACGGCGTGAGGCATTAGCAGCCAACCTGTTAAATGATTTTCCTTATTAATAAGATTTCTAGAAAACTCCGTGTTTTTCTACACAGAAAAACAACCAAAGTTTTAATTTCACACAATCGATTAAGTGAAATAAATGTTCTGTAAAAGTTTTAGTTAATTCGATTTAATCATGAATGAATTGTGCCCTTTTCACATTTTCATGCACTGAATCATTTTTTATATCAAATTTTTTTATCAGTTTTTTTTTTTTGAGATTCATATTACGTAAATTCATACGTAAAAAAACAGGAGATAATGGATCTCATTGAAGAAGTAGTTTCAAGGCATTCAGTTATGCACGATTCGACGCGTTATAGTCGCGTTATTCTCTTATGTCAGATAAAATTATAGATTTAGTAAAAGTTGTCTTACAATTTATCTTTAAATATTTTAATTGTTCATATTCTCTCTTTCTTTCGTTCTCTTGATGCATTGTATAATGAGAAAATCTAAATTTCTTCCTCAGTGAAATATCAACTCTGTAAAATATTTTTATTTTATTGGTGAAAAAAAATGTTTAGTATCATCTTACTCAACTCAACGAGATATATAAAAAGTAGAAATTTTTGAAATAAAACAATTACATACACTTTTCTCGTAAATAAAATTCTGAAAATAACTAAGCTTTCTTTGAACAGTCATTCACATTAAACAAATATTTCCATAAGAAAATATCTGCTAAAATGTAAACTTTTTTTCTAAAGTTTTAATTAATTTTTTTCTTTTTATATATAATACGTATCATTTTATCATATCAACTTGATTTCTGAAAAATAAACATAAAACACTTTGGTCTCTTGATTCATGGCATCCATAAATATGTAATGTCAATATCTCAGTTGGAAAAGAAAAGACACGAGAAAATATTTTCTTTTTTTCTTTTTTTTTTTTTTTTTTATGTTGTCCCGAAGTTTAGGTATAAAATAGACGTATTTTTTATTTCCTTTCAAAAAAATCTAATTATAGAAAATGTGCCTGTAGTCTAGAATAAGTTACTCGAATAATATAGATATATATATTTATAGCATTAATACATCAAAAATAGTAATTTTATTTTATTAATCTTCTAGAAACTGGGAAACTGCTGTAGATTTACCATTGCATATGTTTATTTATTTGGAATAGCTATTAGAATGTCAATGGAAAAAAAAGAAAAGTGAAATAATCGTACGATGTATGAGTTCATTTACAGATAAATGAAAAAATTTTCATTTATGTCTAAATGAATTCACACATTGAAAATATGACTTTGTTTATGGATCTATATTTCTTACAAACAAGTTGTCACTCTTTAACACTCTCTTTTCCCACTCTGTAAAAATGAATAATTATGTATTAAAAAAAACTCAAAAAAATAACTATTTGAAATCTATCGTAATCAAATTTAGTTTTCAGTAACGATGGTCGTAAAAAAACTCATTTTAGTTTTGTAAAATGTAATTTCTTTTTTTTAAAGAGTAGGGCAAAATTAGAAGAAAAAAAAAAGTATTTTTCTCTCTTCTATGTTTGATGAAGTGAATTGAGGTTAAAAATACGAAAATATCTTAATATCTTCCCATTGATCATTTATTCTACATGTTCATAAATGAAAATTAAGAGAATTCAAACAAATAGAATAAAAAGAAAGAAAAACAAGACTATAGAACAAGATAAATATAATCTGACAATTAGTTTTCACAAATAGCCTTTCATTTCGAAAAAAAATAAAATCTATTTGATTTGTTAAAAACTCATTTCTAATATTTGAAAATACTCTTTACGCTAAAAGAAAACAAAGCAATTTTTTTTCTGTTTGTATATACAAAAGACTTGGCAAAGAAACTAACAAACAAAAATGATATTTTATAAAAACGAATTTGCTTTTTGTATCAAGGAAAATAAAATCCATCTGGTATTTCATAAAAAATAAGCTGTTTGGTTTTTTGGAACAAGAATTATTTCAAAAAACCGGCTCTACTTTCTGGAAAAAATGAGAAAAACCAAAAAAATGTTTTTTTTTTCTAATAGAAAGTGTTTGTTTTAATTCATCAGAAAAATGTATTTCAGAAAATCCTTCCGTTTTGTCAGCAGCCAAAATAACATATTTTGGTATTTTCACGAGAAAAACGAAAAACTTTTAAATTTCCAAGCGAATAAAGAACTTTTTTCAGCTTTTTAAAACACGATTTATTTTAGAGAGAATAGATGCCCAAAGCCTATCGATTATGAAAGAGAGAAAAGGCAAAATTTTCAATAAAACAGATTGAATACATAAAATTTCTACAGCCTAATCTCATTAAACAACTTGTGATGCATCATTTTTCATATGATCCTTCACTCAAGAGTCTTCCAATCAATGTTGGCCAAAAAAACTTTAGAAATATTTCTATTTTTTGAATGAATCAAAAGGGCTACAGAATCTAACTGTAGAGAAATACTGTTTATATACGAGACTTTTTTCGATTAGAACAATTTTTAAAGTTCTTCTCCTAGATCCGATCTGCCAACCATATGCTGCACTTCTCCAACTACGTATTTTCTCATTGCACTAAATTAATTAAAGCAAAAGGAAACTACGAATTATGATGATACATTCGTATGAAGACTATACACTTACGTATATATTTAAATAGTCTTTATAAGTGATCACTCGCATATTATTAACTATACTATGCATAAATATCGATCTTATTTTTACTGTAATGATTACAATCCTAACAGGTAGATATCCGTTGCGTTTACACAAGATCGCTCTTTTACGGTATGCAATAGTGATGTTAGTGAGAAATAAATAATTTATCGAGAACTTGCATCTTATCCTAATTCATCCTTTTTCTAAAATATGATATTTAAAAAACGCAAGAAGCTGATGAAGTTTTTTACTTTGAAAGCAGCGGGTAAATAAGGAAGATTATTGAACGTGAAATGCAACTAACAACTGTTTCATAAAAAAATTCAACATTAAATCATTTTGAGAGTCGTCTTTTTTTTTTTTTTGTTTCATTTCCTGAATTAAATCACGCAAAAGATCTAATAGGCTAGAAAAACTCATCTTGGATAACAGTAGAACATGATGGATCTCATACAAACAAGAATTACTGAACACAACTCAAACATCATTCTATATCAACTTACACGTTGCGATTAATTTTATTAATAATAATGAGAAATCGTTTATACTTTATTGTTCGTTTGTAAGTGTAATTTGAGCTTACCAAAATAAAAAGAACAAGCAGAACAAAAAATTATATTTCCGTCAGTAAATGTTTAAAATTTTTTTCTTTTTATAAGGTAAAAATCAGTCTTTATTTTTTTTTACTATAGTTGCCTTTTTTTTTTCACTTGTTCAATTCATCTTGAATAATAAAGAATGGCAAAAAAAAGTTTGCTTACAAAAAGACAAAATACTGTTTTTCTAGAATAGAAAAGGAAACTTTAATGAACGAAAAGTGTTTTATGAATACAAATTATTATTATTATTATTTATTATTCTCACGTCTGATGATCTTCAAATCACGTGTCCGTTTTGCCTATATTTCAGATATAAGTTTTCTTGTATCTTCTTTGAACGAACGAACAGTAAAAAGAAGAAGAAAAAAAAAAATTTCAGCTTTTTTATAATTTTCTACCCTCTCATATACTAACCTAAGCTATTCGTTGAAAAAATATTATCTAACTGGAGTAGTAAATAAAACTCTCTCAACATTGAATTTTTTTTATAACGTTGAAATTTTTCTGAGAGCAATGCGATGTCCATATGCTTTCTTGCGATTTTTTTTGTTAGTGTCAT